TGTTGCTGCCATGTGAAAGATCTCTTATCATACATGTGCTCTTGACAAAATGTCAGCCTCATTGCTAACTTCTAATAGCATTTTTAAAGTAAAGTAATATTTAGTTGGGGGGTGGGATGCAATTTATTTTTAAATAAATTTCTAAGTCATTTGACTTTATTGCCTCTCAATATCCTTTTATTTCTTTGATGCCTTTTTTCTTAAGTCAGAAAACTGTAGTTATGAGAATACAATTTTACACATCTATATCTATAGAGCATTTTCTATATCTATGGAACCACAATTATAATCTTCTAAGTTCCTTCCTTGTAAGCACATCTAAGCCCCTGATAGTTTCATTGTTTGTCCTTAGAGCCCTTTTATTTTTTGGCTTTATTTCAATAAGGTAAACAAACCCAGACATACTTAATCTAGAAGTACACTAGTCATCTACGTAACAAAAATATACAAAAGCCATAATAGGTCAATTTGAAAGTCCACCTTGCTTAGTGTCTTCTAACAGTGACCAAAAAGCTTCTCAGATGCCTCCAGCAAATCGAGGGGCTGTTGGGGTGCCCTGCCTGCAGTCCTCCATCAGTTTCCGCCTTCACATTTTTCACCCTGATGCATCCCCCCCTGCTTCTTTTTTCTTCCATTTTCCCCCAGTAGTCACTCAATTTCTCCCTAATGTATTTTTCTTCATTCTACCCCCTTCAGCCCTCACAAACTTCCTTTCTTCTAGTTAATTTAAAAGCCAAAAGTGTGACTCAAATTTTTACAAATTTTATTTTGGATTCTTGATATATTGATGTTTTCAGGTCTTCAAATGTCTAAGAGAGCAATTTCTAACTTTTCACAAGACTCTAAAAACAACCTAGGCACTGCAATAAGTAAAAGATGCAGATTTTTGATACACAAATAACAAGCATTGAACATCTGATTTTATAAATATACGTTGCGTGCATTGGAAAGCCAGACATGATGTATAAAAAAATCATGACATTTCACTACGTGGTAAGAACAACAGATTTAGACCAGTGCTAAGCAGATCCTGGAGGCCTGCTCAGGCAAGCCAGACGTATCAAAAGGACTACTAGGCAGTTCTTCCAGACTAGATCAGAGCTCAGTCCCCCTAGTTGTGGGTAATCCTGAAACAGATATGCCATTTAGGAAGACTGTTCTTTGAGATGTTACTGACGTGTACATTCAGAGTGTGACTACATCCACACTGTGATCTGGGTTTATTTTTAATGCTAGGAGTAACCAGGATGGCATGCATTCTATTGACAAGGATCATTTGGCTATTTAAGGAGTTGTATATTTTCCTTTCAACCAAAGATTCCCAAATTCTACATGGACTACAAAGGGAAAAGCTGCAAGGATGTGTTATGAAAGTATATACAACCAATAAATCTCTAAAAAGAACAGTCACAGGTAAAGAACTAGTTTTTCCTCTTTTGAGCGCCTGCCATGAGGGAGAAGGAAGAGCTCTTGTCACAGACCCAGTGAGGGTATCACAATGCACCCACCCTTCAGATACTTATATTATATATAGATAAGACCTCTTCTGAGCCTTCTCTTCTCCAGGCTAAGCAGTTCCAGCTCTCTCACATGAAGGACTCCATCATCTTAGTAGCTGGACTCTCTCCAGCTGCTCCATATCTCTATTGCAGTGGGAAGCCCAGAACTGGACCCAGCACTCCAGGTGTGATGGAGGTTGTCAAGACATGAATGAACAGTTAATCTCATCTAGGCTCCCTTTTCCACAAAAGATTGGATCAGATGATCTTTTGATGTCCTTTCCAACCTGAGCTATTCTATGGAATTGGTGTCCACCAGGACCCCCAGATCTTTTTTCACCCAGCTGGACAGCCCCAGTATATACTGGTGCCTGCAGCTGTTCCTCCCCAGGTGCAGAACATTCTTGTCAACCCATTTCACCCACCTGTCAAGGTCCCTCTGAACAGCTGCACAACCCTCTAGCATATCAGCCAATGGGTTGCTTATATACTGATTGCCAGTTACCATTTTTCTCAATTATTCACAACTGTGGTCTCATGAACTGCCCACCAGATCTTTTGGCAGGAGCACTGCAGGGCATGGTGCAAAGATACCTAAGGCTCTAGACCAAGCTTATCAGGGCATAGCCAGACTCAGCAGCTTTGTCTGAAAAAGGATGGCAGCTCCAGGAAAAGTTAAAAGGAACTAACGGTGATCCTGGAAATCAGGGCAAGAAGGATGATGCAGCAGACCCTGAGTCAGCAGCAAGGGACAAGGCGGTGCAAGAACCCCAAGGCAAAGGAGAAGGGAAGTCAGATGTGGAGCTGGAGCAAGTGAGAGAGACTGCAATTGATTTTCTCAGACAATGTTCAGTTACACAACACTTAGGAACCACCACTTTAGAACATAAGCCCTCTGCTACCATGATTCTTCCACCGTGTTTAGTGATCAGGAAACAAAGAGTTCTAACTCTAAACCATAGCTACTGATTTTAGTAACAAGACATCGCTCTGTAGACTTTGAAAGGAAATGTAAACAACATCCTCGTATTTTTGCCAAAGCAGCTAATAGGAATTGGTTTTAGCTTTTGGCAAAATGAGAAAAATGAGATTTTGTGCTTTATCATTCACTCTCACTGAAATTAATTTTTCCATATGCCAATTAACATTTGCGTTTTTCATTAATCCATTTACTCCTACTTAATTGTACTATTCAGACCTTAAATGTTGCCAAAAGGACATCAGAATTAGTTTTCTGTATTGTCTTTCATTGGTTGAATAGCAGGGAATACGTTTTTGCAGGTTCTGTTTTAAAGCAAGTGATTTCTTCCTGATCCATAACTTAGCACTTGAAGAGCAGTCTGTCTTTTCAGGCAAAGAATTGACCTTCACTGAGCCACTTAAGGGAATCTCTCACTATTTTGCTCTACTACCACTGAACTTGCCTTTCTATGATGTCATCTCAGGGACAAACAAGATAGATACAAACAACATGGAAATAATAGGTATGCCTCAGAGAAAAAAGAATTAGTATAACAACTCAATTTTTAAAGACTATTTTCCTTTTAGAAAACATAATGGAGACATAGTAAATTACTTGCGGACAGCCAAGAGAAATATAAATTAAAGTATTAAACCAATTACACAAACCTCTAGTCAGTCCTGTTTCTCAGCTACAAAGCTTTTTCAAAAGCATGAAAATAATTGAAAAACTGATAATATAGATGTCCTGAAATTATTTCAGGAATTGTAGAGGATTATATCATAAGTAACACCATGAGAAAAGACAAAGGGAGTGAAAACTATAACAGACTATAACTGATACCACTGATATGAGATAGGATAAATAGTAGAAAAGCAACATAATTTGCAAAAATATGTTGACAAATAGGCCAACTACACTCTGAGTCATCCTAAAGATGAGCAAATAATAATTCCTCTACAAACACAACCACAGGCATAGTCCATTACTTATGACAGCTCCAGCGATAAAAAAAATATAGTATTCTATTTATACAGGTTGTTGATGAAGAACATCATACACATGTTAAATAGTATGGCTTAAAAGAATAATAGAGGTAGATGAAAAACTTATATCCTTATCCTTTCTATTCTTCACAGTCATTGCATCTTCTGCCTAATACAGAAAATAACTATTTGTGGCAGGGGATCTTTAAATAAGCAGACAACTGATAGCCTAATTCTAACCATAAAAAACACGTAAAATACTAGCCTAAATATGTTTGAGTCTGAAAACCACAGCATCTTCATCTTCCTAACTTGAATCTTGCATAAGCATTCTCATTCTAAACAAAAATTTAATCTAAATCCATTGTTACTATAGTGCTACCCAGACTGAATTGGCATTCTTTCTTTATCCCTTGTGTGGCACACTCCCATTCTAGAATTACCATTCAGTTGGTCATAAGGACTCTCAAGAGCTGGATCTCCCAGATTTGGAGACCAATGACCTTATCCCGAAACTAATGACTATAGAGTGGAAAGACTCCCTTTGGGGCAGGCAATAAAAATGAGCCTAAACTCCACTCTTTCACAAGTGAAGAGACGAGAAATAGCAGCTACCTGTTGCTCTTTTCTTCAGAAGTCTATAAAAAGTTCTGAAAAAAAGAATTCTTCATTCCCAATTCTCTCAGTATCCCCTAACCCTACACAAAAAACAGGCACCTTCTTGGAAGGACAGGTGTCATACTTTCTTCGGAAAAAAACTGTAGAAAGCTCTACATGTGAAAGCTTTCCCACCATTCCACTGCTTCTTTCTTAACTTAGTGGTCTCAAGGCTAGTGGAACTGAGGCAGACACAGAGAAAGATTAGTTAGGAGTAGATTAATTTCCTGTTTCTATGTCTTCACGAGAACTCCAGAAGTTGTGAAGATATATAATAAGAAAAGACAAATCCTGAAAGAAGTCTGGATAATCTGCAGCAATATCAGCTAAAAAATATAACAGACTAATATCCACACCACGTCATTCATTTCAAAAATTAATACAGAGCAAAACAGAATTGGTGTTCCCTTCAGGAAAGAAATCTATCTCATCTGTAGGAATCCTTTTCTTTGAGGAGCAAAGGAATGGACGTTTTGGGCACAGATGTGAAGCTAGTTTAAGCAATCACACAGAAGTGATTTCTAGTATTCACTCGTCTCCTGCTTTTATCATCTTCTGTTCAAGCATTCCAAAAGCACAAGAAACTAGTCTTATGGAAGCAGTTGATGAATACCTACCAAGGATTCTGTCAAACAGGCATTCAATAAGGACGGCAATGGCGATAGAAAACAGGGCATAGTATATCTTCTTTACAGCACTTTCTAATCCTTTTGTAGCTATTTACAGAAATCACCTATTAAAAAGAGTGTAGAGCAGGCCACTTTGGAATCAGCTGTTTGTCACCAAGCCTTTCCCCATTGGAGGCACCTATGTTTCTAAGGAGTGCTGGAATGACATCTAAGCTTTCAGAATATTGAGAAATTGGAGAGGGAGAAAGAAAAATTTATCTTTTCTCACCAGGGAAACTGTTGCTCTTCATCAGCAAATCTGCCATCAGTGTTGACACTTCTGTTGAAATACATGAATGCAGAAAACATTTTAGAAGTTTCATTTCTATAGCAGTCACAATAGATGGCAAGGCACAATGGCTAGATGAAGATGTAAACAAAACTTAGCTTCCTTATGATTGTCAGAGATTGCTCCTTGCTTTCCTGAGGCAACATGTCAATAAATTCAATTTGCTTCAATTAATATACCTATTCTATTATAACTAGATGGTTATTTGAAAAACAGAATTGCAAACAAAATGACAAATAACTCTTCCCCTCAAAAGGGCCTTTTCTCTTTTCCCCCCAGTACCTTTATTCCTCCAGTATCCTTATAAAGCAGCAATTTCATTAGCGCTGTTCATTCTTTTCATCAGTCCTTGGGACAACAAAAGAATCTGAGATGGAAAGCGAGCAAGTCTCTTGCTGGAATAAAATACTTCCTTTCTGTTCTCTTTGAAATAAATGTAAAAGCGTTAATGGCATGAATCTGCCATGCTATTTTGGCATGCTCTACAGTTTCATCATTAACAGGAAAACAGCTTTATTAGAAAAGTTACTTTGGTACATATATAGGAACTGTGGGGAAATGGGAGTAAGGAGTCTCATGCACCTTCTCATGTACAAAGCGTACTATTTATAGAACCTTCTTGCTTAATTCCCGCAAGGATTTTACATCACCAAGATACTGAATTGAGGCTGACACAACTGATTCATATTGTGAATGACAGGACTCCAGGTAATAAAGTTTTCGCATTCCTTTAAGCCTAAATACAATGTATTTTAAATAGGAAGTAACTTAACTTCATACAAGATGCCTCAAGTATTTGTGACATAGAAGCAGATGCAATCTAATCATAGCAAACATCTAGTACCTGTGAACATATTCTATTGAGAAAGAATGCCAAAACTCTGTTACTGCAATGAACCCTCTATGGTACTGGAACCTTTTATATGCAACTCCTATCAAGATCAAACTCAGCGAACTATATTGAAGGATAGGTTTGTGATACCTTTCAACTGCCTTGTCAGATGAAGAATGACATCTCTGAACTCAGAAAAGGGTATAGATCAAGGTCTGCCTGACTCATGTTATACCATACACAAATACTGAACCAATGTGTTTATTGGCCTAAGCCTTAGCAATGAGTTAGAATGTATGAGAGCAGCTGACGTTACCTACAGCCATTCCATCATACAATGGCATGAATTGCTTGGGCTAATATAGATGAGGGGTCTTTGTCCTTTACTAAAGGGAAAGCATTTTGTATTATTGTTTGTGCCTATTGCAGGTATGTCTGGTACTCTAAGCCATACGAGCACCTAAACGTTCTTAGTGATCCTTGGTGCAAGGGTATAAGGCAGCACAGGCAGCATGTCTTGGGCAGCACTGGCAAAAATCATCTCTGTCTCAAGTACCCGCAAAGCATGCGCAACCCATAGGAGAAGGTAAAGATGCACCATTCAAAAATACAGACCTTGCATTCAACACAGAAAGAGGGAGGAATATTATGTTACTCTTCTATTTTGGAGAAAACTAGTCAGAACAAGATTGGAAAACAATTTTTCTGTATTATCTTAAGGCCAGTAATTTGAGATCTAATCTAAGCATTATTCTCCCTAGTTCAAACATGGATATGACAAGCTACATGCATTAATATTCCATCTTTTATGGTTAGAATCATTGATATCTTAGCTATCACAATAAGAGTCAGAGAAGTAACAGGTCAAAGAAATTAAGCCAGCGAAGCTTATGCAAAATGAACCTTGACAATCTATCCTTCAAATATAAAATACACATAATGATATTTCAAGAATATAAAATTGAAAATATATAGTGTTCCCCCTTCAACTTTTTATATTTTCTAAACCTCCTCTTACATGGAGAAACTGAACTGAAAATCTCCTACAACACTTCATGTTGCAACAAGCAATCTTTTTGGTAATAGCCTTTTTTTGCCTGTTCCTAAGAATATTTCAATAGAGAAGCCAGTCATTCTCAAAAATTATCAAGGTAATCAAAGTAAATCAAGACATTTTGTGGTTCAGGCTACCAGAAAACTCAATGATTATGGTACACAATGCCATATGAATGGGTGATTACAAAAAGCACCAGTAACAAAAACCCAAAATCAAAAACTTGCAGAGCTCTCAAGCTTATAAAGGAAAAGCATATAGTTTTGAACAGATAGCAAGGATGTATAATGAGTTAACTGTTCAATCATACCTGCAAGTTTCAAAATTATGACTCAGAAGGAAGGACATTCTTTCCAATTAGCAAAAGCATTAACTGGCCCTTTCTTACTAGAGACACTTGGGTAACATTAACTACCCATTTCAACTGCAACACTAAAGTACTTCACACCACACGTTTACTAAATAAAAGTCAAATGACAATAACTTGTGTAGTATGATAACTCATACAGTCTTTACCTAAAAAGTCTTTTGGCTCACTGACTTTAATGGGAGAAAATGATTTTGCACTGAAGCATTCTCCTTGCTGCTTTACTTTTCTTCATCCACATTTTTCATCACTGGGCTTACTTTCGCATTTTCTCTCCCTTCATTCTCATGAACCTTCTTTGCTCCCACAAGTCTCCAGTCTTTCAGAATCTGGGGGTTTTTGTTTGTTTTTAAAATCCTGCTTTTAGTTTAATATAAAAGAAGAGTGCTATGATAGCTGTGCTATGTATCATTTGCTGTAACAGCCTCAATGGACAACATTCTCTACACTATTCAGTACTATCATCAAGTTAGTAAATGAAATGCCTTTCATTTTATAAAATTAACAATATACTCCTTAATATCAAAGGTGCTTAAGAAAATCCAGGGAAATAATTTTTTCCTAAGCATAAAAACATGCTAGAAAGAAGATACGTATTGGTAAATATTTATATTTAATAGGGACCAAGTGTTTATAGGATGTGTTTTAGAAATAAACTGTTACTCATTCTTTGCTGTAGAGACTGTCAGATCGAGCAATGTTATTAGCACAAAACAGTTGTTCATCCAACTACTAATGCAGCAACTGATATATCTAATGAACATGGCGCCACGGACTATTCCTCCCTGTGCAAGAATTCAGATGTGAAGATTAAAAAAAAAAAACAAAACCTTAATTGTGAATTACAGAATGGACGTAGTAATCTAGGTTCAGTAAAAACTGACTGCATGCACATAAGTCTCATTTCTCTCTTACGCCTGTTTGATGATCAAAACAAATGAACTAAAAAATATTTCAAAAACACACAAAAAAATCTGTCTCTATAGCCAATGAGTTTAAGCCTGGTTTTGTGTGTATGATCACATATTTCCCCAACACCAGAACTAAAAAACATGGCTCTACTCATCTGTGGAGCTAAGCAAAGAATGTATAGCACCTTAGAACAACAGGCTTGAACTGTAAATTTTAACACACTGAATTTAAATGAGTATTCTATATGCAATTATTAGAAGATTTAGTTTTGAAATGTTAATGATCAAACAAAATTAAAGTTATTTCATATCAAGCAACTTCATACCAATAATTTTTGGACAAATTAGTCTTTTGAGTGTAGAAATTTCTTAAGAACAGAAGTGTAAATTCCATCAATTTCAAACATTTTGATACTTGTGCAATTGAATATCTAGGAAGAGGGTTGTGTAGAAGGTACACGTGACCGTACTCAAGCAATACTGACCCTTCTCTCACTTGAAATAAAAATTTTCCTACTTTCTCTTTTAGGAAGTCTTCCCTCTCTGATCTGCTGATAACCTCATTACAAATTAATTTTCTACTTTCATCATTAAATGGTGTGTATGACCTTTGCTCCGCTAAGCAGTTGTTATTACTTCTGCAAAGATTATTCATCATAGCTGGTTCTTCAGAATCTAGCTTCTCTTCATCTGAAAGAACCAAAGAGAATACATTTTGTAGAAGTGCTCTAACACAATAAACACGCGCGACGGAGCTCTAAATGAATTACTGTTTGTCACATTACATTACCAGAATTTGCTTGTATCAATTTAAAAGGTGAGAAAGCTTAAGACTATTTAGAGCTAAGAAGTCAAAGTCTTCTTATGAACATCATTTCTTAAAGTCTTTCAGGTTTGTGTTTTAACATTTTAATCTTTCATATATTTTTTTATTTCCTTTTTACAGATAGGCGCATTGTACCTTGTGAAAGAAGCAATTATATTTTAGGATCTGAATATTATGAAGGAACTCAAGCAAAACGTAGCTGTTACTCTTGTACACGTGATAAGAATCTGCACAAAAAACTTACATAAACATTCGCATGATCCCCAAAGGGGAGAAGAGGCAAACTCAGGCTATAGTGACATTAGGTTCTCAACTTCTCCAATTAGTAACATCAACTTATTAAGTCTAATGGATTAAACTACATATAGGGATATATGATATAAATATATATTTACAGAATATACACATAATAATGAAGTTTAGTACTTTTTGTATAAGACTTATCTTGTAATAAGGTAAAAAGTGAGATGTTCAGTTTATCACGCAAAGTAACTATCCCATGCAATGTAAGAACTGTCATTACTACAAATGAGTCTTCATTAAAAGACAGACTTCCAGCACATTTTATTACGAGCCAATGTGCAGGAAACCAAGATGTCAAGTCATTTCCCATCTGCAAGAAAATTACTTTTAAATCCCACGTTTGGCAACCTTTATTAAGTCTCCACTAATGAAACTCTTAACAACAAATACGATGTAGTTGGAGGCCTGTCAAGACATATCATTCCTTTTTATTCCTCCTTTTACGCTCAACAATCCATCAGGGAATCTCCTAAGATGATGTCATCTCATTATCTCTTTAAACATTTCAGCATTTAACATTAATTTTACCCACCGAAGAAAACTTTCAGTAAAAATTCCATTACTTAGAAAGCTATAGGAAAAAAGGTACCTGAGTAGCTTTCAACTCACTTTCTGAAGTGAAAGCCTGTATCATTTTTGGAAATCACATTTTCAAAACTGCCTTAAAGCCATTTAAATATTTTATAAATGAACTCTGAAAGAACATGCAGGTCCTTTAATATAATATAGTAACTCATGTAATTAACAATATTAAAACCCATCCTGCAGTTATTTTTCTAGGAAATAATATGTATCAAAACATTCTTACTCTGATCAGGAGGAACCATTTCAGCAGAAAGGAAATTTCCCTGAGAAGTTCTTCTAAATAAGCGTGCCCGAACACTGCTGACTTTTCTAACCTCTGCAGCATTGGCAGGAGGTTTTGGAAGGCAAATGGAAGAATCTTCACCTTTTGCAAAAGTGACTAGTATTGGTTTCTGTGACAAAGATAAAGATGTTTCAATAAAAGTACAGATAATTTCATTTTAATATAAGCAAAAATTTAAAAAAAAAAAAAAGAAAACCAAATTATTTATACAAAGGGTTAAGTTCAGAATAGAATAAAGTTATATAGGTTTGCTCATTAAGAAATTTTCATACCCAGAATCTAAGGATACCATTCCGCTGAACAAGCCAGATATCTATATCATTAACACCATAGAAAGCCATTTAAAAGCAAACATTCAGGGATGCAGAAAACAAAAACTAGCCCAAGTAGAGCAAGTGAAACTCAGAATTATTTCCCTCATAATACTCTTTTAACATCATCTGCAGTATGCTTTAAAAATGTTGTGCCAAAGACTTGTACTAACAATTCTAGAGGCACATCTTTATGATTTGCTTTTGAGCACTGAAGTAGTATTCCCAAAACACTTCAAACACGTTCATATCACATGTACCACTTCCTAACACACTGAGACAAATCATGCAGATCCAGAAACATGCAAGTTCTAGTCTTCTTTATGTCAGCATCTTGCACCTTAGAGGATGTGACCAACCCCCTGAACCTCTGGTACAAAACACCTGTTGTGCCCTACATAAACCCATGGCCCTCTAAAATCAAGGTTCTCTACCCATTTCCTTACAATAAAGAATCCATTAGAAAGTCTCCAGCCTGATCCTTCAGAGCTCTCCCCGGTATTAGTTGAAGATAGTCAACAGGTGAGACCGACTGCCCCCACAACCACCCTGACTAATATAAGCTCTACATTTACAGTGATTAACTTATCTCCATTGCTAAGCAGAAAAGGCAGTTTTTGCATTGGTCTGAACAGTAGTTTTCTCTAGTTTTTTTTCCACTCACACACAAGATAAATCAAAATTTAACATCAGTATTTAAATCCAACTGAAGATATATTTAATCTAAATATAAGTATGGCCAGAATTTTTAAATTTGATTCATATAAATACATTATCAATATTACTGAAGTATAACATTTGTTGGAATTTTTCCTCTAATTTCCTAAAGAATGCTACATTTAGATTACTGTCTTGAAGAAACAACATATACAGCAAGCACACTTAACTGTTTTAGCATGCTCTGTTCTCTCAGGTACTAGACAAATGATCATAACAATCTTACAGTTAAAGATTAAATATAAAAATCCTGAAAGAGCAGATACACTTATAAACTGAAAACAATTCAAAATTTTCAGAGGGGAGAAGGGGTTCTTACATGTACCTCTTTTTAAAATAAACTACAATTATTACATTTTATAGATGTGTAAATCAAATAGAAAGCACAATCAACCTAGTTACCTTCAAGTTATCGATCACAGAACCACAAAATAGTTGAGGTTGGAAGGGACCTCTGGAGGTCATCTTGCCCAACCCCCCTGCTCAAGTAGGGCCACCTAGAGCCAGTTGCCCAGGACCATGTCCAGGAAGCTTTTGAAGATCTCTGGGCAACCTGTGCCAAGGCTTCGTCACCCCCACAGCGGAGAAAAGGTTTCCTGCAGTTCAGAGGGAATCTCATGTGTTTCAGTTTGTGCCCACTGCCTCTGGACCTGTCACTGAAAACAGCCTGGCCCCATCTTCTTTGCATCCTTCCTTCAGGTATTTATATACATGGATAAGATTCCCCCTGAGCCTTCTCTTCTCCAGGCTGAATGGTCCCAGCTATCGCAGCCTTGCTCCAGTCCCTTCATCATCTTTGTGCCCCTTCATTGGACTCTCTCCAGTAGCTCCATGTCTCTCTTGTACTGGGGAGCCCAGAACAGGACACAGTACTCCAAGTGTGGCCTTACCAGTGCTGAGTAGAGGGGAAGGATCACTTCCCTCAACCTGCTGGCAACACTCCTTCCAATGCAGCCCAGGATACAGTCAGCCTCCTTCTTAGCAGCAAGGGCACGTTGCTGGCTCATGTTGATGCTTATGACCTTTTTATATTTTAGTAATCTTACACAAGAAAGCTGACTCAAGTATCTGTCTTCTGATTCTTGTTAATGTCACTTAGAATTATAATGCAATATAGTAATATTTTAATAGATTAAATTATTTTCAAGTTTCTTTTAGGGAAACAATGACAAAACTGACTTTAAGTCTCAGACTAACATTACAACAGGCTTCCATTTCTCCCCAACCTGTTTAAACCACATTTTTTCCTAACATTACCAATACACATATTTTTATGTCAGTATTGCATGAGTTATTTCCACAATACTCACATGATCCAGTGGGCTAAGACGAACACCAGACACTGGTCTTGATTCAGCCAAATCAAAACTGGATGCATGAAGACTAGCATAAAGAAATTAAATATAATATGAATAAAGCAGGCCCAGTGTTTTGTGGTGTGTTGTTGGTTTTTTTTTTTTTTAATTGTATGCTTCTTCTGTTTGCCAGTGAATATGGGGAAAAGGAGGAAGAAAGGAAGAGCAACAGAGCACTTCTACACTATCACTGTTCTTCCATGAATGCTACTAACTTTGGTATCTGGGAATCCAGCAGCATCAAGGGAGAAGAATTACAAGATTACCTGCACACTTGCCATCATACAGTTTATGTCATACACATCTATAACAATTCTCTAACACAAGCCTGAATTCATGCACAAACCCAACTGTGGTTAGTGCCCAGCTATCCAACACAAGCGGCAGAACACTGCAGGGCAGAAAACTCAGGTTTTTGCAGGCATGAGCATGCTCCTTCCCAGACAAAGGAGAAGCACAGACAGAACAAGCATGGATGTCAGCCAGAGAGACCTCATTACCTGGTCACCATCATCAAGTCACTCAGGTTCTCACCTTCTGTAAGGGCACAACTCCATGTAGTAAGGAGTATCGAATACACGGACTGCCTGAAGTCATGCTGCCATGAAAACAGCATGGACACCGACTGACTTGTATGGCCACTCAAACACATTTGAGCATCCTTTCTGGCACGCCTGACACCTAACGTTACAAATGCAGCTCATGACTCCTCCCTATAGTCATTACAGAATTGGTATATAAGGCAAGCTAAAAAACGTCAGGGAAAAATGGATTAAAAAAACCCACACACATTTTTTTTTCTTTTTTGTCACAAGAGACAGATCTATCAAGCTCTGTGAATAATAGTACATTACAAAACTCTGCACAGAAATAATTTTAAAGTAGTATAAATTTTGCTTAAAAAATAGTATTTCAAACTTCAAGATCTACTATTTTATATTTAAAAATATCTGAGAAAGCTCTGAAAAATGATCTAGCATACAGTTCACCTGGAAACAAGCAAGTTTACACAATTTTTAGGGAAAAGCTGAAGACTATCTGAATTAAAAGCATACATTGTCTTAAGAAAAGAGTTACAAACCATTTTCATATACTATTCTCCAAAAACAAAACTAGTGTAATGACTGCCTCTGGTAGCTCTAATCCACAGGAACTTCCTGGACATGTAGATTAACACTGTGCTGGTTTTGGCTGAGATAGAGTTAATTTTCTTCGGAGTAGCTAGTATGGGGCTGCGTTTTGGATTTGTGCTGAAAACAGTGTTGATAATATAGAGATAGTTTTGTTATTGCTGAGCAGTGCTCACACAGAGCCAAGGCCTTTGCTGCTTCTCACCCCACCCCACCAGCCAGGAGGCTGGGGGTGCACGAGGAGTTGGGAGGGGGCACAGCTGGGACAGCTGACCCCAACTGACCACAGGGATATCCCATACCATATGACATCACACTCAGCATATAAAGCTGGGGGAAGGAGGAGGAACAGGGAGGACGTTCAGAATGATGGTGTTTGTCTTCCCAAGTCACCATTATGCGTGACGGAGCCCTGCTTTCCTGGAGATGGCTGAACACCTGCCTGCCCATGGGGAATGAATTCCTTGATTCACTTTGCTTGCATGCACAGCTTTTGCTTTACCTATTAAACTGTCTTTATCTCAACACACAGGTTTTCTCACTTTTACCCTTCCAATTCTCTCCCCCATCCCACCGGTGATGAGTGAGTGAGCGGCTGTGTGGGGCTTAGTTGCCAGCTGGGGTTAAACCACGACAAACACCAACAGTAAGGATCATTAGAAGAAGGCAAAGGATGTGATTAGGAATACAGATTAACACAGAGAAAAAAAAAAAAATCACCAGAAACATAATTATAGAATCCAATCTCTTGCTGCTAAAGGATATTTGAAAAAAATCTTAAAGCCACAGTACCTAAAAACTGAAGGGGGTCTATTTTGAGGAGTTCGTGAGGATCCAGATCCAAAAAGTTTCCTTTGATCCTCTGTAGGGGTAAATGGTCTCCGAGTTCTTAGTGTTCGTAGAACGTTTCTGGCTTCATTTATAATCTCAGAACTGGTCTTCTGCTTTGGCACTGACAGCCTGTAGAATGGTTCTGCCTTTTCTGTGTTTTTATTCTTTGAAGCGTGCATTCCTCTGCAAAGTAGTGCACATGAAAAACACTGTACAATATACATGGAAGGCACAGAATATAATGCTAGTTTTAAATTACAAACTATTAATTCATTAATGGTTATGCTACTACAAAGGACATGGAAGACCTTTTTTTAAAGGGAGCTAAAATACACCACACTCAGTACCACAGTGCTTTCTGGGCCAAATGTAGTACTCTCCAATACTACAGAAAATCTGTTTCTTAACACCTGATTACTTACAAAACATCATAGCCAAAACAGGATTTCAATAATATGTTGTAAAGAGACATTTTCTTTCCAATGAACTTAGGAAATACCCAATACAAGTTATCGACCTTACCAAGTGCAGGTTCCTAATAAGTCAAAGAGGTATCATTACCAGTAACTGAAGCACAGTTATCAGTAATTGATAAGCAGAGACAAGGAAGAACAAGCAATATATTTTTTTCACTGAGAGAAATGCCTTCCCAACCTACCCCTAAGCACATGCAAACAAAGATAACACTAATATAAGATAAATTACGAACCCAAACTTTCAAGCAGTGTTCTGTCCTGGTGCATCTTCTGGCAAACACAGCGAGCAGTGAAAGACTTACTTCATCATCTCTCGAATCCCCCAAAATCAATCACTATCCTGGTGCAGTTCTCTGTAGCCATCTGTAACATCCTTGTCATTTTACAGCAAACTCATCATAAGCCTTAAACCATCCAAAATTCCTTTTCTGCTTCTCAAACTTACCTAAAAAGAAAAATATGTTTCTGCACTGTCTGTGACTCAGACCATCTGGTAATTTCTATTGTCTCAAACAGTTTATGACAATGAACCGACAGTAGATCAGATGCCACCATCTTGGTTATTTCTAAACTATGGAGCAAAAAATCCTGTTTCTCTAGTTTCTTAGTTCACTTCTTCCTGTTCTGCATTTTTATATTTCCAACCATCCCTTCTGTTCTTCAAGAGCCTGTACTTTCTGGCACAGTTTCTTTAATACACAACCCAACCCCTTCAGCTGAACTAACCAAGATAAAATTGGATGCTGAGGAGCAAATGCACTCTTTCACTAAAAGATGCAGAAGTACAAAACACAGGAACAGATCAGAAGCCTGAGCCTGTCAGTGGTTGTAATCTTTTACCATCAATACATTACTTCACTGTGATTAAATTTAGCTCTCTATGGTCCCTACTCTTCCCTATACTACAACATGATTCAAAACAGTTAAGTAAGGAATTCCACTGCAGCAGTCTGTTTGGAGCAATTATACAGCCATTCCTCACTGAAGAAAGAAGGTAAAAGATCATTCCCTATTGTCCCAGGTACTGGGAGTCAAGATTTTGACCTTTAAGTGGAATGTTAAATGAGGAGACGGGCCAGGCGCTCCGGATGCAACAGGAACCAATACGGTAACACTGGGAAGATACATCAAAAGAATTCCAGCCACCCCAGCCAATAAGTCAGCCTCATCAGGGGCACAACTGAAATGCCTCTACACAAACGCACGGAGCATGGGGAATAAACAAGAGGAGCTGGAGACGTGTGTGTGCCTGCAAGGCTATGACCTGATTGGCATTACAGAGACGTGGTGGGATAGCTCCTATGACTGGAGTGTTGGCATGAAAGGGTACAGGCTCTTTAGGAAGGACAGGCAGGGCAGATGAGGAGGGGGTGTCACCCTCTACGTCAATGACCAGCTGGAGTGCATGGAGCTCCACCTGGGGATGGATGAGGAGCCCACCGAGAGCCTATGGGTCAGGATTAAAGGGAGCGCTGGGGCAGGGGACATCATTGTGGGGGTCTGCTACAGGCCACCTAACCAGGGGGACGGAGCAGATGAAGCCCTCTATAGGCAGACAGGAGCAGCCTCATGCTCACAAGCCCTGGCCCTTATGGGGGACTTCAACCACCCTGACATCTGCTGGAGGGACAACGCAGCTGAGCGCAAGCAATCCAGGAAGTTCCTGGAATGTGTTGATGACAACTTTCTCCTCCAAGTGATAGAGGAGCCCATAAGGAGAGGTGTCATGCTGGACCTTATTCTCACCAACAAGGAGGGCCTGGCACGGGACGTGAAGCTCAAGGGCAGCCTTGGCTG